GGGTGATATCTTTTTTTTGCGGACTGTACCTTGGCCTATGGAAAGAGCATTCCAAACACTTGTCATGGGGACATCTTGTTTCACAAGTGATGGATTTATCCTCTTTTATTATGTCTAGTGACTATATGTCACTAAGATACGCTTTTCACAAGTCCTTCAAGATCCATTTTCCTACTAGAGATGAATGGTTTAATTCTCCTCGGTGGCTTAAAGGCAAATGCCTAATATAGTACACTGACGGTTCAAAGATTGGTGCCAAATCAGGAGCAGGAATTTATTGCTCCAATGATGGTACCAATCTTCACTTTCCCCTGGGAAATTATGCCACCGTTTTTTAGGCTGAGGTCTATGCCATTATCTTGTGCTGCAAGTTATGCTTAGACAAGGTATATCAAAATACGACTATCCGCATCTGTTCTGACAGTCAGGCTGCTCTCCTATCACTGTCAAGGTGTAAATTCACCTCTTTGTTAGTGTGAGAATGCTTCTCGGTCCTCTGTGACCTGTCCGCTCATAACAAGGTATCCCTGCATTGGGTACCAGGACATATGGATATCGGTGGAAATGAGCTAGCTGATGAAACAGTACGGGCTGTCTCTAATGCAATTTTCTGGGGCCCTGAACCTGCGATGGGAATTTCTCCCTCCTCATTTTGGGCAACCATTTTCAAGCTCTACGGCAAGATCGCCCATGAGCAATGGCGCGCTGCTGTCGGTCAGAGACAAGCTAAGGAGCTGAATCGAGACTGTCCTAGTGTACGTCAAAAAGAGCTCTTAAAGCTTAATAAAAGAAGTATAAGGAAGATCATAGGTCTTCTTACTGGCCACTGTATCCTCAGGAGGCACCTAAACATTATGGGAATAGAATCCAATTCTCTTTGTCGGGGATGTCATCTAGAAAAAGAGACATCACGACACATACTTTGTGATTGTGATGTCTATTCTGCTCAAAGATTTGGGCATCTAGGGCAGCGTTGCGCAATGCCTGGGAACTGCAAGATGTTCCTGTAAGGTGCTTACTGAACTTTATTTCAGCTATAGGGCTTTCTTGCTAATCACGACTAGGGTTTGGGTACAATAGACCTCTGGTCGATGTGCCCTGCTCGTCAGAGCTGCCCAACCTCAAAGTCTAAGTCTATGTACGAGAAGATTCAAAGTGACAGAATTTAGATGTTATTTGTATGCAATAAGGCTCCAAGTGACAGAATAGAATTTGAATGTCTTCCGCATGTAAGAAGGTTTTTTGATACTTTCTGTGTGTAAAAAGGTTTCAAAGTGACATAGAATTTGTCTGCTCTATGCAGGAAAGTTCAAAGCGTCAGAATACAATTTGAATGTTTTCTGTATGCAAGTAGATTCAAAGTGACAAAATGTGAATGCTTTTTGCAAGCAAAAGAATTAAAAGTGACAGAATTTGAATGTTTTCTGTAAACAATAAGTTTAAAAGTGACAGAGTTTGAATGTTTTCTTTGTGTTAGAAGATTCAAAGTAGCAGAATTTGATTGAATGATTTTTGTCTGCAAGAGAAGCTCTAAATACATTTTGCAAATATAATCAACATCAATATTAAAAAACTTCTCTTCTAGCTGAATATTAAGACTCTTAGACGAGAACAGCCTTAGCGTCAAACATAAACAAATCGTCCTGTATTGAAGTATTTTAATCCAAATACACTTTCTACATCTATATTTTGTTTGAAAATTTGTTGAAACGCGAATTTCCTGCACGCATGTTGTTTTGTGAATTCATTTCAGCTAGCAATTTTAAAATCAGTCTAATGTAAATTTGGTACTCAAATAAATAAAAAAATGCAATAAACAAAAAAAAAACAGTTTTACGATAGAAATATTAATTTTAATAGAAAATATTAATTACTATAATTTTTGCTTTCAGTACTGTAAAATAATAATAATGCATTTACTTTTGTTAAAGGATCATCAATATAGTGATGTACGTCTAAGAGGCCGAGGTGATACGTCCAAGATCCCAATTTTACGGTGCATTGAAAGGTGTCTTCAGTGACCTGATTTTCTGTTGGTAGGCATCTGCTCTTCACTGTGAAAATTGGCGACCATAAAACCGTACTATTATGATATATAATCGCATTTGTTTGAGCTTTAGGAAACAATCCGTCGTCAGATACTCTAAAAAAATACCAGTTCATTTATAACACAACAACATTATTTTAAAGCCATGGATCAAATTTTAGAATCTGACCGGTATTATTCTGATTATGAATTAAATTTAACAAATACGTATTTAAATTTAAAATAATGTCATAAAAGCAGGTTTGAACGAATTTAAATGCTTTGTAATCAACGCCCTTAATATATGTTTTTAGAAATCTTGCCAAATTAAATATTAGGGGTCGAAAAGTAATGTTTAAACGAGGTAGAAAAAAAACACTAATCACGAATCAATTTTGAATAAATCTTAATTGATATTTTTAAAATATATTTTATTGTGGGACCATATCGAGCACACGCGCACACACACGTATATAT